AGGAGGTACTGGGCAGCGGTATATAGAGAACTGGCTTGAGTATTTTACTAAGGCTGTCCTCCTTGCTTTTGGCCTCTGAAATAGTCTCCAGCATTCCATAAGGTGTAAATTTACCTTGCTAGGGTATTTTGTAGATAAAAATGTAGTTACACAATTTAATTTAATTTACAAATTTATTTTGTAATAATTTACAAATTTATTTTGTAAATTACGCTGCTAGGGTATTTTGTAGCCATCTCCTCCTGTCGGCGGGAAGTCTCAGCTACTCTGTGTCACCTGTAGCTTCACTAACTGCTTACATGCCCACAGGCTGCCTTTCAAAAAGAGAGTCACTGGCTTTTCATCTCCTATGTCCTCTTTAGCAGGAAGTCACATGTGGTTTCCCAATCTTAAAATCTCCTGTCTGGCTATTTATGCTGTGTCATTTTCCTTGCTTAACTTCACCCCAGAGTGTCCTCTAAAAATGTGGCCCAAAGGTTGAGCTTTTTTCTTTCCTGCTCAGAACCCTTCCTTCCACCCATGCTGGCTTAGCAAGGCATGGGCAGAACAGTTGCTGCACACCAGCAGAGCATATACGTTTTTATTAGTGATGAATGTGGTGTGATAGGTGCTCACAGAGTAAGAGGAAAACCTTGTTTCTTGTGTGGGAAGACCTAAATTAAGAAATGACGTTACAGTGATTTTCCAGGATGCTAGGCAAAATCGTGTGCAAACAGATTTGTTATTCCTCTTAGACAATCACAGGATCAATCTGTAGCCAAATAAAATTCTGTAATCTGATTTGATAAAAATGGATGGTGACATTCATACCAAAAGCCTGAGTCAATACTTAAGTTTATTTCTGTGCCACTTAGTCTTATCATATTAGATTGAGCATTAATGACTGTACCCATGAGTCGCACTTATTCACTTACTTTTTTTAATTGTCCGTGTCTTTGATTTTGAAGAATTGGCCAGCTTGATATAAACAATCTCCTTTTTAGTACTTTTCTTATGAGGACGTACTCTGGTGGTGATATTTGTGCTCTGTTGTGCTTTGCTCATTTTCAGAACTTTTCTATTCAGTGAGACTAACTGTGGAGTAAGCTCATACTCGTCATGAAATGGGAAAATCTCATTATTGTTCTTGTGCTTTATTCTTGGCATACCCTGTGAAACTGAATAATTTGTAGGAACTGACTGATCAACAGTGAGAGTGAAAATGTTGCACTAATGATCTCTGTCTGTGTCTGTGTCTGTGTGTGTACTTCTTTGTGGAATTGCTGTTACTGTCAGTCTTAAGAGACAATAATCCTGCATTTCAGCCTGTCAGCTCCTGTGAGAAGGAGCTAAGATCACAGAAGAGTCTTGATTTAAACAGCGATCCACTAGTAGCTTGTTACTCTTGATATCTGAATCTGTGCCTAATGATTAAATGCTCTTGGGCTGACAAAAGCAGAGTTTGCTTTTTGTTGAGAGATTTAGGAATTTAGGAGATCTAGGAAGCTATCTCTGGATTACATGACTGAGCTAAACTGTGGCTTATTCAAGAGGCTGTATTTGCTGTGGTATTTTATAAACTTGGACAATTTGTCAATAAACTATCAAACACATCGCTAATCAGTCTGTTAATTAATTTTGGTGATGCTGTATGAATTGCCAGGATTTATGCTCGTGTTGTTGCAGAGGCACTGCCTGTGAGGTGTTTTGCCAGCCCTTTAGGGTGGAATCCCATCAGCCTTGGGAACAGCCCAGTTCACAGCCAGTATGATCCCACCAGATAGCAGGGAAGCAAAACAATGCATGTTAATAATATTAAACGGGCCTTGAGGATCTGCTTAGAGCTGCTGCTTCCCCTGCAATCAGTCAAACATTCGCCTGCCACCAGCTTCAACTCGAGTCCAGTTCTTTGTATGGGTTTGTGATATGGCCCTTAATTAGGTGAGGATTTTCCATTACATTTTGTGGGGTGGGGAGTGTATAGTGGCAGTGTTAAGTGAGATAATTTTGGGATCACAACTCCATTTACTGCAGATGTTTGAAGTAAGCATTCTTCAAGACTTTCTTTGAGGCTCTTGATGAGCATAATGGGTACCTTGTGTTAGTGCTGTGTTTTGGCTCCTTTGCTATGGTTAAGTTTTAGATACAGAAATACATTAGTGTGCTTAATGCAAACTCCATGGACAGTCTAATGCAAGCTTGCCAAGGGTGTGGTGTTATTATATTAGGGTCAAGGAACTTTGATTGAATCAAATCCACTGTAAAGGCCATAAGTCACTTAGACTTAGAGGTCTGCTGCCACTTGAGATGTCCTGCTGGCTTCTGGCAGAGCACAGGTACTTGTCCATTTGCCAGCCCCAGGGTGCCTCAGTACACTGGTGTCTGACATGGGACTGTGTGCCTGTCTTTGGCTACCTGCCTCTGTAAGACTGCAATTAAGACAGCAAAGCCAGGGATCCAGTTTGGGGTAGTATCAGCAGGACTAGGGCTGGGTTCTGTCATGCTAGTGGTTGGAGCTGTGTGAGGAAACAGGATATTAGACTTTGCATATCACATCGGGGTCTGCTTGCTCCCTGGCCCTTCAGAGAATCTGCCTGTTTATCTGTAGCTCGCAGTTTGTGCCTGTGTGTGTTTGTGGTGCAGTTGTTCATGACGTGATTGCATATTTATCTGTCTGCATGATCCTTGCCTCATTCAACATGGTGGACAGACAGCGCTCGGGGATTCATTATGGCTCTGTAGTCAAAGAGACTGTTGTCTGCAGGATCACAAATGTGTTTCCTGCAGATGTTGAAATAAATGAGGCAGGGGGTTATAGGAAAAGAGAGGATGATCTCATGTCTAAGCCAGTCAACCAGTCGAGTGATGATCTGGAGATCTGGAACTCTGCCTCTAGGATGCTATAACTGGAACCAGGCTCCTCAGCCTGGGCCTGACCCGTTTTTATTTCCACAGAGAGAGCAGTATCCTCAGCTTGTTTTCATGTATCTTCTCAAAATGAGCATGGCAGCTTGTTGGTACATGACTGTGCAACAGGGGAAGCAGTGAAGGACTGTTCTGTGACTCGAATTTCCTTTTCATCACAGTGACTGGATAGCTCTCGCTGTTCCTTTCTTGATTGCCTTTTGAAGTTTGCAGCAGTTTCTCAAAACCTGATACAGCAGAGCTTGTTTATCAAGGTTCTCCAGTGTCCTACTTGAAGTAGGACCTAAGGTGAAATAAACTTGACTATAACAAACCAGCTCTACAATATGTCCACAACACAATGTTACTTCCCTCCCATCTGCCTGTTTATGCCACTGCTGAATTTGGCTGTTGGAAGTGTAATAAAAATAAGTCTTTGCAATTATTATTGCAGTAGGAGAAATAACCATGGATTTTTGCATTCAAGAACTTCAAGTATGAAAAGTGACTTGCTTTCTGTGATGAAGATGCTTCCTCCCTGTTGCCCTGGTGTTAAGCTGCCTTTAATGAAAACTATGAACTGAATGTATGTTAAAGTCTTATTCAGACTTGCTTAGATAAAAGCAAATAAATGAAAGCCGAGTAATTTCTAGCCTCAAGCTATTGTTAGGGCCAATGGGATTAAAGAAGGGATATCGTAACGTTCTAGCGATCATAACGCAACAGAAGTTTCATGGAAATGCCTGTAAATAATTGCTCAAGAGCAAGAAGCTTGGGAGTGACCTACATTGTCATTTTTGAGGGCTTATTCTTGCCATTTCAAAACTGAAGATCAAGAATCATTTCCTTGAGATCAAGCCCCACATGGTGCTTTTTTTTCCTTTTCACTCTGAAGCTTCTGCTGGTGGTTCAGGTCTGACTGTGGTCCATTCAAATCCGAACTGATCTCTTAGCACATTTTACCCTGATGGCTGGAAACAGTTGTGAAGTTTAAAGCCTCTGGTGGCCCCTGATTTCAGTAGAAGGCTTCACAAAATGTTCAGGAAACAGTAGCCTATGAAGAAGCTGTTTCAGTCCTGCCAGCTGGTCTGCAGTTTGCCCATCAAAGCCTCTTGTGGATCTCTAGAGAGCTGTGGTGGCCATGGAGGTATCACAGGCTCGGCTGGAATTCCCTGCCCAGGTTTACAGAGGGCACTCTTGCTGCTTGTTAAAGGAGCAGCTGCCAGATGAACTCTCCTGTGCTCTTGCTGTGGATTAGGGGCTGGAATTACTGTTCTGTTATTTTCTTGGGTGCAGCTGGGTGTGTCTTTGGGAATTTGCTGTTGGGAGAAGCTGTCAGAGTGAAGGGGGTAGGAAAGGCTGCGTTAAAAGGCCTGAGCGGAGCTTACTGCCGAGGGCTGCAGTGGGCTCGTGCAGGTTGCTGACCGTTGTGCTTGTGCTCTCCAACTGGCTTTTCAGTCCTAAAATTCATGTCCCTTGGTGTGAGTACAGGAGAGTGCAGGACGTATACTTGTGCCATCACCTTCTACAGAGAGAAGGTGATGCCCATCTCTCTCTTCTCCTGACTGTGTGAGCATCTAAATATAGAAGCAAAGCGTGGAAACCAAGACTTTGTCATTGTAGTAAAAAGGCTGTTAACTAAGCACCAATTATTTTCTTTTAACTAGGATAATAATGCATGGAAGTATATACATTTGAAGGTATGCAATGCTTAAATATAATTGCTTTATTCTTTGCTCATCTGTAGAGCTGCTAGAAACACTTGGTGGACTGGAATTCAAGATACTTGGTTCATGCTCATACCCTGGAGTGGAGGAAATAAGCACAAGAAATTTCTCTAGTTCAGGCAAGTAAATATCTCTACCTCCATGGTTTACGTGAAATTAAATTCTTGGTAAACAAATTGTGGAAACCTTCCTAAAGTGGAGGAATTCATTTGCTCTGTTACAAAATATAGTTCAAAAGGAACGTAAGAATTTTAATTTTTTTTTTTTTTTTTTCTGTATTTAATAGTTAAAGGATTTGTCTTACTGAGCTCTGCTTTGAAAAACTGGGGAACCTCTTCTGTGTAGAATTGAAATAAACATTTGCCAGTTGTCTGGAATAAAAAGACAAAAATGTCCATCATAGATCCTTATCAACACATTGTGGTGAGTAGCTCTGAATATTCCATGTATAGTGTCTTTTATAATATATACTGTTTCATATGATGTATCCAATTAAAAGTTACTCTAAATAAACACACAGCTTTTGTTATCCTTAATTCCTCAAAGAAATGGTTAAGTGTGGTTAGAGCAGCTGTCTTCAGAAATTTATTTGAATGAAATTTGAAAGATCCAAGTTAGCTTTTCAAAAGCATATCATGGCTTTGAGTGTGGTTGCTCATGTGTAAGTCCAAATGGAGTATGGGCTCCTTACCTCATGGGTGTGGTCTTGTAGGGTATCATTCTGAAGGACTTAACTGGTCAAAAGTGCCTCATCAAAGTGCCTGTAGCTGACTGTTTCATACAAGTTTTTCCACATGCTGATTGTCAAACTGAGCTGTAGTCTACACATGTAACATAATTTGTCTTTGTCTGTTAAAGTACAATTTTCGTTTTGTACAATAACTTTTTTCCCTTTATATCAGTATGGACAGTGGGATAAATTGGCAATTTTGGATGTTTAGATCTTAGAGTAGTGAGTATCAGGGATGTTGATTTGAAGAATCTTCAGAACTACAGTCTGCAAACTGTAGGTATGCACAAATCATTTTTTCTGCTGTCAGAGCTGGCTGAAAGGAATGGTACAACCATCTGATCACAACCAGTGCAAGAAGCAGGGGCAAGAGAAGGAGGAGGGAGCTGGGAGCAGAGCTGCCCTTTGTATGGCCAGCAGTGGAGTGGCTCGGCAGCTCGTGGAACATTGGCTTTTGCCTGTAATATTCACACGTATCTTGGCTTGATTGGCTTTCCAAAGTAAACACTGAAACTGCAATTCCTGCTCAGACTGAGCTCTTGAAACACGCTGGGTGTGTTCACATCGGCCGCTTTTCCTAACAGTCCCAGAATCTCACGGCAGGAAAAGTGATATGTCCTCCAAGAGAGTTACCATACACTTGTCAGAATGTTGAACTTCTACATGGCTAAAAATACAGCGTGTGCTTCCTTGAAATGATCTCTTATCAATTATGTGGTTTCTACCCCACGCAGTCACATCCTTTACACGAGTTTGCAGCCAGCAGATGTTAAACTTGTCTTTTACTCACTCCGTTGTTCTGTGAATGCTGTTGTAAAGACAGGTTTCAGGCTGAGGTCTATATTTAACAGCATTCAAACACTACACTTAGCTTCCTCCTTTCAGAGTCCTCTCAGTGCCCTCTCCTGGTTGGAATGTTTGATCTGCTCTGTACCTTCACGGGTGAGGTCTCAGAGGCACTCAGTTGCACTTCATTGAATCATTCACAGAAAAAGATCTTTTTCTGATACCAAGGTATAGACCATAATGAACAAAATGGAGCCATACAGGTATGGGTAGTTACAGTCCTCAGGCAGTGCTGAACTGCTGCTGTAGGACTGTTGTTAATCATATGCTGGAAGGAACACTGGTAATGCAAGAGCTGATCCTATAATTGCTTGAGAAGTAAATGGAAATCTTTGAGGCTTCTTGATTTGTAAATTGAAATTGCATGGAAAGTTTTGCTCAAACTAAGAACAGTTGGGGACCGAAGGCTCAACAATGTAAAAATCTTCAATTTTTAATGATATTTGGCATTAAAAGACTCAAAAGAATTCTGCATTTTCCAAAAGTCCTTCTGTTCACTAATGTGTGTTTTCCAGTCTTTTTTTATTCCTCATGTTATGAAAGAGTTGGAGGAATAAAATAAAAGCATTTGCAAGTGGCTGCAGGCACAGCCAAAACTGTATGAAAAATACTTTTAGATTCAGAGAATAAAGAATTAAGATGCATAATGCATCTTTGGCTACATTGATATGGGGGATAAAGATTGTAACAATGGGAAAAATTATTTCAAGGTAAAATTTGTGTGTGTATACTTGCACACAAATGTTTGTCTTAATCATAATACCCTGTGAAAGAAGAGCATGGACTTCATGAAAATCTGTTTCTTAAGAACACAGGCAAATGTTTTCATTTGTCCAGCCCATTTGTCAGGTCAAGTGTCCTTAATATTAAGGAAGTAAAAGTAATGAATACTTCTTACACAATCTGTCTATGCCAGAGCTTCCTGCTGGGTATTTCGTGTGCAAGGGTATCTCACGTTTTGTGGCTCAGTGTTCTGGGATATGAAAAATACTATATTCAATGCATGCAAATCCCCTGTGGCCTCAAGTCAGTGTGGAAGGTGTGTAGGTCAAAGCTGATGGTGTTACAGGAGATCTTTGCGTGTTGCTCTTCCCCATCCCACAGCGGGAAGGTAACAGTGATAGTGTACACACAGATCAAATGATATGTAAAATAAAGGAAACCAGATAATTAGGGAAATTTTACTGAGAGGAAAAAAAAAAAGCAGGCAAAGGCAGAAAGGGAACAAAGGAGGCAGAGGAGGAGTTAGAAGGGATGTAGAGCTGGGGTGTGGGAACAGGAGATATTGAACCATGGGCTGTGCAGGATACTGGGAAAACCTTGTGGGTTGAACCAGTAGAGTGAACACTGTCCACAGGAGTTCCTGTAACTCAGAAAACCCATATACCCAAAGGGCATATGGAAAACTTTTCCTCTCCTCTCTTCTCTAAATTTATGCAGGAAGTGAAATGAAACATATGTAGAGCTGGGTCACTTTGGGTGATAGGATTTAGGGTTTTGAGTTAATTGTGAGCTTCTAAAATTTTTGACCTGGCATAGATTTTTTTTTTTTTTTTTTTTTTTTTTTTTTAAAGGTATGCTGATGTTGCTTCACTGAGTGTTGCAATGTTTAAGTGATTTTTTTATATAGCATCATCTGTTCTTCAGAAGTAGTTGAGGAGTTGGCAATGTTCAGATTTTTATCAAGACTTAAGGTGAACATAAGTCACTTTAGAAAATGCAGCTTAGTCATCTAAACAAGTAAGGGCTGGATCGGTGAAGGCATTCAGAGCCAATACATTTCTTGTAGTATTTTCAGGGGGCATCTAACTTCTTTAGAACTCTCTCATTACAAAAACAAACCAAAAAATGCTTCTGAAAGTTGTGCTAGCTGTTAATGTGGACATTTAGGCCTTTTAATACTCTTAGAAACTGAAGCCTAAGTGGAAAATTGGTTTAATTTCCGATTGCACTTAAGTTGCATTAAAAAAATGCTTATTTTGGGGTAAGAAAAGAGGTAGACTTTTGAGCTTCCTGTGTATCTGAGTTTTTTTTTTTTCTTGTGTGTGTGTGTGGTAGTGGTGTTTTGTTTTGTTTTTACTGAGAGGGAGATCGTTTAGAAAAAAATTGGAACTACTAAAATAAACTTATGATTATGGCCAAATATTAATAACTCTATAATTATAAAGCCTCAGTGTGTTACTTTTGGGTGATGCACAGGGAAAGAAGATAATGTTTTTCTGTTTTGCCAGACCTCTGTGTACTGGCATTCATTTTGGAGTACACCAGATCCTAAACCAGACTTAACTTTCTTGGCAGAACAGCTGGAATGATGGAGTTTGTTGCTTAGGTCAGTAAAAAGCCATTTTCATGATGGTATTAGCAAGACAATTATTGACTTGTAATGAAAAGTAGTGACAATGATCTCTGTAGTGCTGCAGTGAGAACACACTAGGAAGTGGTGGTTTGGCCTTCTTTTAGAATCACAGACTGGTTTGGGCTGGAAGGGATCTTTTAATATGTAGTACTGTCCCTCTGCAGTGAGCAGGGTAATCTGCAACTAGAGCAGGTTGCTCAGAGCCCCATCCTGTCTGACCTGGAATGGTTCCAGGGATGGGGCATCTACCACCTCTCTGGGCAACCTGGGACAGTGTCTCAGCACTCTCAGTGTAAAAAATGTTTTCCTTCTATCTAGTCTGAATCCTCCCACTGATGATTGTTGCAGCTTCCTCTGGCCCTGCTCCAACAGGTCCATGTCGCTCCTGTACTGGGGACTCCAGAGCTTTTGATGGTTGGCATTTTATTTAGGCATACAAGTTTCAGGAGCAGGACGAGGAGATGCTTTACCTCACAGCAGTGCTCTTTGTCAGGGAGTGTCTTGTAGCCTCATTTTACAGCCAGGACTCTGGAGCACCCGAATCACACATGAGTTCCACATAGCAGCCGAGACCTAAACCCAGCACGCCCACGTCCCGTACTTGTAACTTAATTATAACTCCATCCTGCTCTTTGTTGCTAAATGTTCAGTGATCTCCCATTTGTGGTCTCTAGTGAGGACAGGATCTTTCTTAACAGCTAAGAATAAGGAGAAGGGTGGTGTCTCGGTTCTTTGGGCTGTTTCTCTTAATTATAAGGTTGTATATGACAAAGGAGCTACATCTGTCTGTGTGAACGAGCTCTGGGGCCAGTGCTGTGTTGTGAAACCGACACTTGTGATGTGACGTGCGTGTGAAGGTGGCACACAGTGACAAAACAGCTCTGGGCACTTGGGGAAGCAATTAGAAAACACGGGACAGCAAGAGTCGCTATTTTCTGCAGACTCAGCTTGTAAAAATTCTTGAAGCAGAGTAAATGACAGAGCTGGGGGAACTTCACATAGCTGTGTTCACAGCTGTTGCCAGATGCCCACTAAAATCCCCATGTACCCTGCTGTGATGGAAATCTGGACTGGTTTTTGCCATGTGGCAGAGGCAGAAGTTTCTTCAGGGAGAAGTCTCATCCTTCTTCCCATACATCCATCCACTTGTGGAAGCTGTGATACAAAAGGTGATGGATGTCATGTGGTCATTGGTATGTCTTCATGTCAGCAGAGGACAGGCTGTTGAATAGGTGTTGCTTCTTCATGAATTTCAATTCCCACATCTAAACCTTTTCTATTTGGTTTGATACTTATGGGATGAGTTAACAGTCCTGGTTGGGAGAATCCCGTTAGAGCCTGGATTCTATTTTTCCTGTGGCTGGTGAACCACTTGCTGTGCAGTGATGCTTTCAATGTACCACTTTTAAGGTGATGGTTTCCATTGCCACAGCTTTCCCCCTGCCTGCTTACTTGTTCTTTGAACCAGACAACTCCTACAACTTACAGGACAAAAATTACAGAGCTGGGGTTTACTGCTGGGCAGGCTGTCATGAAATGAGCCTCTGGTGGTCATCACAGCGTGTGGGTGATTGCTGCCTTAATAAAGATGCAGCAATTCAGTGTCTGGGGCAGGCAGTGTCTGCAGTGAAGTCATTCCCTCAGTGTCACTGTGGGCATTTTCTCCTGGCTATCTTGCCATGGTGATGTGGCCATGCCTTGGCAGACCTCAAGACTACAGACTTGCGGAGGAGTTTCGGTTGGTGTCATTTGCATTCTTTTCAGTGTGTCCTGATTCAGCTGTTACTTCAGCATTCAGTACCCACTCTTACTGTCTTTAGAAGTGTTTTTTTTGCTTTTTTCTTCCCTTGAGAAAATAATATGTAACTGATTTTTTTTTTTTTTCCTTATTTGTACTGGAGGGATCCAGTTTGGTTCTTGTCTGTGGGTGTACGTGTGTTGTAGATGTGAAATAATGAGGCTTGGCTGAAAGAACCAGTTCTGAAATAGCTGTGAGACCCACCTGAAAGGCCCTTGTAAATTCTAGCAGTTGAAGCAGCAGGAGCTTACATGCAGACATGTACCACCTCTGAAAACAGCCATGTATGGGTTGAGGGGTTTTGGTGGCTCTTCTGTTCCTTTAAAAAGATGTTCCAGATGAAAACATAGCAAGAAAGCACCTGGTGCAGCCTGAATAAGTGTGTCCCATGTCAAGGGTATCATCTATCATTGCAAATAAACTTCAGTGAATTTCCTGAGTCTAGTACTTCCACCTTTTCCCTCTGATTGGAATATAGTGGAAGACCTTTAATATTTGTTTAGTTGTTTTGATCCCAATGACTGATATGCAGTGTTTATGTTAATGTATTCCACAAAATTAATGGGTGGTTAGGAAAAGATGGAAATTATCACAGTTTCCGTATCATCTGGAGGTAATCCTGGGCAACCTGCCCAGGGTGACTACCTGAGGTCTGCTTCTGGTACAGTGACTTGAGCTGTAAGAGCCAGGCAGCTTGGACCTGATGGATACCTTGTAGAGGCAGAGCTCAGGTGTGAGGTGCTGCCTTCCCAGGGCCTGAGCTCATGTCCCAGAAGGGTGAGCTGGTGCCCCAAGTTGTACCAGCTCATGAGTCAATGTCAAGGCACTGCAGGCAGTCAGGCAGCTTGAGTGGCCTTGGGATAGCAGAGTAGATGTCAGTGCCAAGAGGCAGTTGTGTGAGACCTGGTCCTGGCTCCAAGACATAAAACTCACCCCCAAGCTCTGTCCAGTGTCTCTGTAAGGGCCAGTGTTGCCTGCCTTGCAACATGCAGTGGTGATTCTCAAAATGGCATTCAGTAGGTTGGTTAAATGTGTGGCTGTGTAGGTAAAGTAACAATAGATGTGACCTACTGACCTCTTTCCATTATATTTTTCACTTTTGTTTCTTAATTTAACATCTGTTTTACTTCCCTAGTTTGTTCACTCTTAGAAAGGCAGCTCCTGGTTGGTGCTTGGGCTTTGCAGGACACCAGAAGCTCCAGAAATAGCATTAAGTTTGCTGGTGAATGTTTTAACAGCTTGCTTTTCACCTTGCCTACATTGTCTTAAGGACACTTGCACTTTAAATGTTGATGTACACTGAAAAGGTGTATTCTGTGCATTGCTATCTATCCATCTGTCCCACAGCGTATACTTGGAAATAACTGCACCTGTTCTTTTTATTGGAGGAAGGGAATTAAAAACACAAGCACACTTGAAAATAACCCTCTTTTTATTTTTTTTTTTTTTCTTACCACACTGAGTTGTCCCTGACTGACTAAATGCCTTGAAGCAGGTTCAGTGGAGAGGAGGAGTGTTATTCATTGAGATTAGTAGGTGTGGCTGCAGGAAAATCAAGCAACCCTAGTGTAAGGTCTGACCTTTCAGTAAAGCTACAGGGTGCAGTTCAGCTTTAAGATGCTCTATCCAGTATGAGTTTCACTTGCATTTTGACTGGGTGATTTCTTTCTCTCAGGTTTTGGGCAAAATGAAATCTATGTGGATAGGTGTTGTTTGTTTTTGGTTTTTTTTTTTTTTTATTTTTATTTTTTTTATTCATTATTCTGGAGCTTAATCACTTTTAACTCTTTGACTTCCAGGTGGAACACCAGTATTCACACATATTCACTGTGACGGTAAGGAAAGCCACAAATGTCACAAAAGGAGCCATCGGTGACATGCGTGAGTATTTCTCCTTGTATTTTGTCTCTTTCTTCTAGGAGACTGCTGCTGTAGGCATGGGGAGATGACACATGAAGCTTGTCATGCATTAAATGATTATTAGTGGGTTTGGTGGTGTGTTTTTTTTTTTTTCCTTGCTTGTTAAAGCTAGAGCAATGTACCCATCTCATTGCTCACTCTAACTTAGAAAGCAGATTTGCCGCTCCTTCTTTCCATTGATCCAAAAAAGCTGAGTGAGTTGTAAACAATTTGCCTACGAGCAAGCAACACCTACCCTGGGGTTTTTGGCTCGGTCAGAAGCGCTGCTCTGAGTGCAGTGAAACTGGCAATTGCTGTATCTTCAAAAGGTTGTGGTTTGGTGGTGGGAATGCTTAAAAAGAAATAAGCCAAGAGTTCTGGTGAGTCAATGCATAAAAAGGAAAAAGGAGAAAAAGAAAAACTAAGCTGGAGAAGCAGATCTCATGGTGGAAAGCTACATAAGACACCAGTGTTTCTCCCCCTTTCTGTTCTGTGAGCCTCTGGGCTTAGTAGCTGAACAGGAAATCACTGGGAAGAATGATCCATGAAAGCTCTGGTCTGGTATTAAGGGATGAAGTGGGAGAGAAGCATATATTGGCTGAATCTTAAAACAGTATCCCTGCTTCCTTGGTCATAAGTGTTCTGCTGTGGGGTTGTCTCTCCCTTTCCCTGTCGCTTCACGGGGAGCGTTGCAGAGCCCAAGACGTGCAGGCTGGGGCTGGGAGGATGAGTGTGGTGCCTCACTCCTCCTCTCCTCAGCCTCATTGACATGCAACTTTCTCTGCCAGCATGTTCCTGGAAACTGCTTTCAGGTCAAACTACAGCAACTGCTCTGACACACAGCTTTGCTTCAATGGCTTAGCAGGGTTTCCTTCATAATTAATTTATACTGTTGATATTAAGCCTGGGGCATGTGTGGGAGGGACAGTTGGAAGGAGACTGTTCAATAGCTCCAAGTATAAGGGCAGAGAGGAGAGCCCTGGGAGAATGAGAAGGAGGAATTGGGAATCTGTTTAGCATCTACTGTAGGGTGAGGGAAAGCAGCATGCAGAGACGGTGTAGTGGGATGTTATCCTGGTGGTCTCTGAGAGGCTCTTTATATAAGAAGACCTTGGGAAAGGTGTTGTAAAGAGTAGAACAAGGGACCATGGGTTTGGGTGTCTTAAGAAGGGGGGTCAAATGAAAAGCCACAGGTTCTTGGCCACAGAAGTCTCTGTTGTGAGACAGGGTGAGGGAAGGGAGCTGAAATGGGGACCCTGTGATGGGATATTAAAGGGAGTATGAAAAGAGTGAAGAAAGCTAGAACACTGTGGCAGGTTTTAAAATATTTTTATTTTCCCCTCAGGACAAGGATGGTCCTGTAGTATAAATTCCAGATGTTATTCATCAATATAATTGGATTTTTTTTTTTCCAGACAAAACTGTTATCTTACCAAATCATCAAAACCAAAAAGCTACCGGGGATGAAATTATTGTGCCAAAACCTGCCAGAACTATGCTGAAGGGCCACTGAAACCTGCTTGGTTTCCTGTTGGAGGCAGCCACAAGTGCTCTGTGGCCTGAGGCACCTGCAGTTTGGGGTGTCTCTAAGTAAGCTTCCAAGTATTTCCAAGGCTGCTTCTTGGAGTTCTGGCAAATCCCCTGAAGTGGGAAAAAAAACCAAACCAAAACAAAAAAACTCAAACCAAAACAGATTGTTGCTTCTATTTTGAGAAAATGAAAAAAGTTTTTCTTTCCCATGTATATACAAAGTGTGGTGTGTTGGAGCCTGGAAGCAATTTGGTCAAATCAGTAATTACTTAAGAAAGATGCATGAAGCTGTGAGAGGTGGAGGGACTTTACAGTTGATTGTGCTGATATATATATATATAAAATTATTTTTTCATTTGATTTGGCAAAACTGTAACTTGTTGAAGGAACTCCTGAACTTTTACTTTTGGTTTCTGATCTCAAGGGTAGGATTCACTACTGGGGAGGGTGGCTGTGATACATAATGTGAGATGCCTTGTGCTGCGGTAGCTACCTGGGTGTTGCTCTCCCATGGTGGACACTACCAAACAGATTCTTCTGCTGGGTTTCTCATGATTTGTTGTATTGTCATTGCTCCAGCTTGTGTAGACAGTGACTGCTCTGTGGGCAAGAGAGGTAATTTTACATTGTGGTAGTGAGGGAGATCCTGGGGAACATGGGAGACACTATATAGCATTTTCCTTTTTTTTTTCCCCCGTATCAGTCTTTCCAAGACTTTCTGAAATAGCTGTGAAAGTTCTGGGTAAATCTAAAGTTTAATGTAAATATGTGGAAGTGGTTATAATTTTGCACTGGGAAGGTCTAATTTGCATGGTGCCCCAGCTCTGTGGGTGGGCACAGAGGGCCTGATTTCTCTGGCATAGTTGTCCTCACCTCTGTATCCTCAAGCCTAGGCTGGGGAGATAAGTATTTTAAGCAAGTTTTTCAGGAGTTCTTGAGTTCTTCATTAACAGAGAGCACAAATAATTATGTCATCTGTAAAACGAGGTAATGAGTGCTCACTATGCTGTTAAATTCCACAGGCAGTGTGTTTCCTTGGGTGAACAGTGTGAGTTCACACACACTTGCTGATACAAGACATATTTTTAGTGTCCTGGCTGATCTGGGTGGCTGGAAAAACAGAGAAGACTGGAGCTAGGATAGCTGCCAGCCTTCTCATTTTATTTTATTTGGCTGAGATTTCCCATTGTCTCTGTAAGCTTTAAAATTTTTGTAAAGTGATCTGACAAAGACAAGCAGTCATATCTGAATCTGGATCGTGCCAGGGTTTGAGCAGCTGAGCTACCGTAGCTGCTTTTGTTTCTCACCCATAAAGCACATCAAAATAAATGAAAATGGCAATAATTGCATCATAAAAATTTTCCAGTGAAATGCTTTTCATATATATGAAGGAAATTGGTCTATTTAATAGTTTGTCATCTGTGAATGTGTGTGTGGATGATGAATGAGAGTTACTGTAAGAACACATGGTCTGGGAGGGCAGGGGAAAAACCCGTTTTGAGGGCAGACTCCCTTTTTCTTGGGAGTTCATTCAAGTCCTTTCTTATTTCAGGTGTCTGCCCATTTGCTCTTGCCTTTGTATAGTAGTACTTTTTTACTGAGTTCACTTGTTTTAATCTTAGGGTGTCCCTTTCAAGGTGACCCTCACAGCCTAGGTGCTGGCCTATCAACATCCAGTCGATGCAGCTCTATCTCCACAGAAGATTTAAATTGCATTTTAGTGACTGCTGCTCTAACAGCTGTGTTCAAGTGTTCTGGCTGTTTTTTTACAGGCTGGAAGATCTGAGATGAGCAAAGGCAGCAGTTGTGTGGTGTGTTGACCTTGGCTGGCTGCCAGGTACCCAACAAGCTGCTCTATAACTCCTCTTCCACCAGCGGGATGGAGGGAGAAAATATGGTGAAAAGCTGTCATGAGGCAAAACGAGGACATGGGGATCACTTACCTGTTACCATCACAGGCAGAACAGATTCAATTGGAGGAATTAATTCATTGTAGCACAATGAGATAGAAAGAAATAAAACTCATCCCCCCCCTACACCTCCCTTCTTCCCAGGATCAGCTTGACTCCTGACTCTTCTACATCCCCCCAAGTGATGCTAGGGAATGGAGGTTGAGGTCTGTTCATAACGGTTTTGTCTCTGCCACTCCTTTGTCCTCACACTTTTCCCCAGCTCCAGCATGTGATCCCTTCTACAGCATAAAGTCCTTCATGATGCTTTCCAGTGTGGGTCCTTCCCATGGGCTGCAGTCCCTCAGGAACTACTCCAGCCCAGGCTTTTTCTACGAGGTACAGTCCTTCAGGAACATACTGCTCCAGCGTGGGTCCCCCACAGGCCAAAGGTCCTGCCAGAAACCTGCTCCTGTGTTTGCTTCTCTCCATGTGCCACAGCTCCTGACAGGAGCCTGCTCCTGTGGGGGCTTTCCACAGGCTGCAGCACCCTTCAGGGCACATCTACCTGCTCTGGCATGGGTCCCAGTGCTGCTGATGGGCTCAGCCCTGACCAGCAGCTGGTCCATCCTGGAGCCAGCTAAAACTGACTTTGTCTGACATATGGGCAGCTTCTGGTATCTTCTCAGAGAAGCCACCTGTGCAGCCTCTGTGCTCCTGTGCTGCCCAAAACTTGCCACACAAACCCTATAAAGGATGGAGTATCTCAAGATGGGCATGTTCTTGATGAGGATTTACTTATTTAATTGCTTAGCTGTCTGCTGGTTGCAGGAGTCGATAGATCTGTAAAATTGCTTCTCTGACTGGAGAAGACCTTACTTCCAGTCTAGAGAGTTCTTATATAGTGGATGTTTAGTGTTGAATCTACTCCAGATACCACACCATACTGTATAGGCTTTCCTTGCTTTCATGGCAGTACATGAACTTGTAGAAAAAGACCAGAATCCCAAACTGCAGCACGCTGGAAAAGAAATACTTACAAACTGTGGTGGTTATTCCCATAGGATCTTTCCCTTTATAGATTTTCAGGGGGCTTGATGGAAAACCAGGCCAAAGTCTGTCTTACCTCTTCAAAGATTTATTTTTCTTTAGGTATACTGGCTTTCAAAACAGTTGGTAGCAGTTACAAAGGAAACCAGTTCTATGACTCTACTCTTAATGATCACTGGTCTTGCTTAATATTGTTTTGGATTTGCAGCTTTCATTTGCTTCAACTACTTTTGATGTTGTGATAATAAACGGTGTAATTCCAGGCGTTTTATGGAAAAAAATCCTTTCTTTAAAAAGAAAACTATTTAAAGTTTGTATGGCTTGTGGTGCTGGCTCTGAGTTTCTATCCCAGCTTGTGTCCACCCAGTTGGAATTAAGGATGTTTCCCCCGTAGTTAGCCTGCTCAGATAAACAAAGCAGTGGGAGCAGTCTAGTCAACAGAGCTCAACCCTGGTTGCAAAACTTGCTATCACAGAGGTGGAAAGCAGCTTGCATAGGTGGCTTTTGGCTTTT